GCAACTTATGCTTTTCGCAACCGTGCCAAAACAAGTGCTAGTTACTGAAATCGCATTCATATTTTTAGAAAAAGCTCAAAAGTGGCTAAAAGGAGCAGACATAGTAGACGTGCAGCGACAGCAAACTCGTACACCCTTTCCTGCTGTGAACCACCACTTTACACAGTGCCAGTAGCCTGTTGCATGTACTGTATCCTACATCATTCCAGTGCACGGAAAAGGGAATGCACATTATCGTAACTACCATTGATCTACTTTTTCTCTGAAAGGAGTCTGAAGAGTGAAGGCAGGCGAGAAATAAAAAAAAATAGCGAGTATGCATTTGTCCGACATGTAGACTGTAGTCCGTGACTTGACCTTTTGACCCCGTGCCATGGGGCCAAGGTTGCGAAAATGAAGAAAGTTGCGATTTCTTACGACGAAAAGTTGCGAAAAAAGTGGCGAGCATCTTTGGGAAAGGGCTACTCGGGACATCAATTACAGAATACATGTATGTACACGCGTGCTATTTCGATGTGGATAGTCAGTTGGTGCAATAATTTGGTGATGCCATCTTCAGGAGGTCCGTCAATCAAATTATGACTTTTCATGGACCAGGAAATCTGCCATTGATGTGAAGAAGGATGATCTGCTGCAACTTGCAGCCTGCAAGGATTATAGCGTTATACGCCAACCCTGCTGTTGAGATCTGGATGGAAGCATCGCGGTAGCATCTCACAGTTCGCCACTGCATCACACACTCCTTTCTACCCAACTTCAGCTTTCGAATATCGTGAAGTATTTTGTCTTGTGCAGTTAGCAACTTCCAAATGTGACGTTAGACGTCCAACATGATTTTGTTGGCTGTCACCATGGTCACTCGGCTTCTACTTTAAAAGTCTTTACACCCGGCATCTTTGTCACCACGTCAGTATAACGTTACTTTGTGACGTGTAGTTTTCTTAGCGCAACCTATTCTGTGTACCTCTCTTTCTCCTTGTGATTGACCTAGCACCTGTGATAGTTGTGTCGGTAGTGTTCATAACACCTCCGTTCTACACTATTTCATTCGTGTTGATTTGTCACACATGATAGTTCGTTGAGTGTACTCGCATTTCGCCAATATCTTCCATAAAACAGTATCATTTTAGTTCAACCCATTTCATTCAACATCTACCTCTCCTCTGATGAGTTCCCAACACCATAATGGAACGAAACAAGGCTTGTCAGGAACAACGTCTAGCTGTTGCGGAGTATGACTGGTGCAGTGTTCGTGCTGGTGTCTGCAAGCGTCGTCTGGTCTCGTCTGGTCAAAAGAAAAATCTACCACTAGTTGGTGCAATGTACGCAGATGATTTCAGTAGGGCTGACGTCCACACTATGGTGCACGTGTGATTGCTGGACACCTCGGCCTGGAGATGAATGGTAAACAAATCAACAATATGGAGATTTCTATTGAAAATCAATACATTGTACAATGTACAATTCAAGTGAAATGTAATTATAATTGTCAAAGTACTTCAGCAAACGCACCCTACAGCTGGCCCCACAATGTATTCAGATTCGTCATTGAAGTACGACTATTCACCGCCTCCGTCCTGACATGACGGCACGCTTGTTCACTGCCGCATGCATACACTGTAGTCCACTTTGCTAGATCCTCATAACGTAATGATTGCGAAAATAATTATGCAACTAGCAGTTCCCAAAACCGCTGTCTAACTTTAGAGCAATGCAAATAAATTTTGACGTAATGACTAATGTTGATGTCGATGAGTTGGGTAGATGTCAGAACTGATACACATGCATGTACATGACTCTACTTGTTGTTGGTTGACAGCATGTAACAAGATGGAGGACCACAGTATTCGGAAACTTTATCTGATGACTGCACTTGTACCTCTAGTCTCAAATCCCACACTCAAAACCCACACTCAGATCCCACACTCAAATCCCACACTCAGATCCCACACTCAGATCCCACACTCAGATCCCACACTCAAATCACACACTCAAATCACACACTCAAATCACACCGCATGGGGGCTGTGTTCCCGGAAACAAGCAGAACAGAAAACAAAGGAAAAAACAAACATGGACACCGACAAAGCAAATACAAGCATGAACACGATAAGCAACAAACGCACAGGAGGGAAACGAATCCCCGAACTGCAGGGAGTGCTCAGTGCCATAGAGCATATCGGGCACATGTAGCAGGTAGCAGAAGATATTCAGAAGACGGTTCGTTGTGAAGTTTCCGTGTGGTACTGCTACATGACTTGTACATGTACTTCTATGTTATAGCTCAGCCTCTTTGCCGATACTTCCACAACGAGGAGTGTTTGTTCTTCTTGATCTCTGGTAGGGTGTGGCGGGGCTACGTGGTGCATGAGTGTTCGGAAGATGGCGCGGGCCTTCTTGGGCCAAGGATCGTACACCAGTCAAACGCGTACATACGGTTCCTGGTGTTTGGATAGAAATCAACAACAATTGCTCATTGTTTACGTTTCAGTTCAATGCCTTCTTCCGAACAGCAGCCCTGCAGTAGATCTAGGGAGCGCTCGGACCGGTACCACTACCAAGCACATGTTTCCAGCCATCCAATATATCTACGACATACAGGTGCATTGTAATAGGCTAGACATTTCAGGTACATTGAAATAGGCTAGACATTTCAGGTACATTGAAATAGGCTAGACATTTCAGGTACATTGAAATAGGCTAGACATTTCAGGTACATTGAAATAGGCTAGACATTTCAGGTACATTGAAATAGGCTAGACATTTCAGGTACATTGAAATAGGCTAGACATTTCAGGTACATTGAAATAGGCTAGACATTTCTCCTTGTAGATCTACGAATGATACTTTTGGACGCGCTTTACGGTGTGCGAACACGCCATTGTCCTGGAACACACTGGAACCTTTTTTTATGCCTTTCCCGGTACACGTAACGTGTTTGCTGTAGTGACCTGGGCAGTGCTTCAGCCATAGCTAAGCACAGACTGCACAGTCCGTTGACATCGCTCCGGAAATGGTCCATAACAGAATACAGTACCTTCGGACTGAGCTCTGAGGGACATGATGCGTCCACATTGCTCCTGACATTCTCAGCAGAAAGGAATCCCAGGAGCTAAGTATCCAGCTCACGCCCTTAGTACAGGTGTAGCTCATTCTAGACATTCCCATGCAAGGTAACCGTTACCCGTTGCAGGAGAAAGGATACAAGCAGTCTTTGAAAACTCTCGAAACGTGTACTTACACTGTTTAGAGGATCTGAAAGTTGTGACTTTATTCGTCATATGCCCCCGAATTTCCACAACCTTTCCGGCCGCGGAAATGGTGCCAATCCATACTACCAAGCGGCCATCTCAAATCCCGACCACCAAACCTACTGTGAGCACGGTGTCTGTCTACTGAGCTATGGGCAAGTGCTTTCTGTTTCACAGCTTGCTCAGCAGCCTCGCTCAGTGATCTGTGACTTCTCACCAGGACACCTACGACTGTTAGCCTGAACCGAGAAGTAATAGTGGAGCAGACGGGGGAAACAAGTCGCGTACTGTCTGTTTGGATTGTCATATGACCGATTTGGGAATCCGTTCGATTGGGAAAGAACGCTCTCACTGTCTCAGACCAAGATCATTGAACGCAGCCATCTCCTTGAAAGACGAAAACCTGTAACAATTATTTGGACAAAGGACGCGAGTACGATACTCATGAGTGCCATACACTTCGGGTAAAGGTTTCGTTACGAGCTGTACTACAGTGGAGATTGGATTATAACGACACTCCTTCGGGAGAAAACAAAATGTCACTATATTCGATCTGTCACTAAACACGATCTTCACATTCATTATGCAATAATGTACATTTATATCAGAATGACAGAAATGTATTGCAGATATGCATGTGAAAGGAAAAGGACAGAATGTTACGAGTTATGACTAAATGTCCACCAACGTAACCAGATCTTATAGTTATACAGTCAGCGAGTGCGACAAAATGGCACAAAACTGACAGGGAGTACTGAGACATTCGGCGGCCTGACACTCGTAACATTATTTTTGTCCTTTTCCTTTTTAATAATAGCTATGAAAAGTATGAATGCCGCAGACATCACCACGCAACATGACAATTTGTTCAAGGTTTGGTTTTGTGTGTTTCCAAAATCGATTTTCACGTTCCGATCATCAGTGGAAATACGGAACTAAAGAGATCAAGGGAAAAACAAAGGTTAAAAATCCAAAGAAGTGTGACACATGACGGGTAACTTGTGGTAAGTATTACAAAAGGTGAGAACTAAAATAAAGAGTAAGTGTGACAAACGGACATGAACAGTGCAGAAACAACTCATGAACACGATTTTGGAAACACACAAAACCAAACCTTGAACAAATTGTCATGTTGCGTGGTGATGTCTGCGGCATTCATACTTTTCATAGCTATTATTAAACTTTTATCTCCACGTAGATTATTTGTATACTTTTCCTTTTTCATCATATTTTTTTAATCGGCTCACCATGCGAGTTGAGATAATGCATGTGCATACGGTAATTATAATGCCTATGGATTTCCGATGTGTATGTGCATGTGCCTTGCATGCATCATCGGGTTCAAGCCAAAAGTCACGCATAGCAACTACACCGCTACACTGCGGCTACATAATTTATTGCAATGACCAGCACGTGTGGAGGGACCCAGACTGCCAGAGGTCCGGGCATGGGACACAGACATGTCCCATGCATCGCACTCCGCCTGATACAAGAGGAGAGATTTAAGTCGTTATACTCGGTGTATTTTCAGGTCCTCCGGCACCAAACAAGTGTCAGTACTCGAAGTAAATTCGATCTGTCGTTATTTTCGAGGTCGTTATACCCGATCTATAATGTACAGAAAGGACTGGCCAAACGGCTTGGGCAACGGAATTTTGTCGCTAAACTCGATTTGTCGTTACTGTATATCCAAGGTCGTTATATCCAATCTCCACTTTATCATGTCTTTGCATTTCATTACAATATGAGTGTGTTATGCTACAATCATCAGCCACGATGAGGCAGGAGTACATTTAAAACTATACCTTATAAAAAGCTGCACAATCATCACAGTAGCCTAAAAACAGAAACCGTACCAGGCTGTTCTGAAAACCATAGTGTGGAGAAGTCGACGAGAAGCCAGGCAATACATCTAATGCAATGTCATGTCATGTCAATACACTCTACATGCACTTGAAGAATGACTTTGTACAATTGAACTAGTTTGTCGAAATACAGAGCAATACAACAGTACAGAATTTCGATCGAGGATCAATTTTATATCATACAACTATTACATATTTTCAAATGCAGACTGCAAGCGTTTGCCTACATTGACTAGGATCTACAGGTGAACAAGAAGAGCATAGATGGTGCGTTATACAGAATATAGCGTTAAGAATGTCTGCGCCCACTGGCCGGGCTTTACGGAGAACACGCCGTGTCCTGTTTCTATTCTCCCAGCGGAGCTGTGGACACGGGCGCTGCCGGTGTGGGTCCAGCAGCGCTCTCCTTGTAGTTGGTGATGAGAGTGGGCAGGTTCTTGGCCAGCTTCTGGTAGAGGTCTTCGGTGTAGATGGCATCGGTTTGCGCGGCTGCCGTTCCCGCCGTAGGTGACACGGCGCTCAGCTGATTGGCGCCGGTGGTGGCCTCGGTGTACCATAGATCTGTCAGCATACCCGCGTACTCCACACTCGCCTGCCAGCGCGCGTGAACATTGGCGCTGGAGTCGTTGACCAGAGCGGGCACGGCCGGGATGTTAAAGCCGCGCGACAGCATGACCTCGCGCCACTTGTTGGTCGTCATCAGCCAGGAGTCCAGCGCCTCCTGCCAGAACTGCACGTGGTAAATAGTAACCGTGTCGTCCACGTCAATGACCTGGGCTGTGGAGTTTGGCACCATGCCTGCGGCCGTTTCCTGCTGAAGACTCTGGATGAGCTCTTGGTGGAGTGACAGCCAGCTACCATAGACCCTGGCAGTGCCTGAAGATCACAGTGCGGGACCATCGAACAGAGAAAACACAAATCCGAAGGCAAATGTAAATATCAATTAGCAAATCTCTGTCACAAGGAGGCAAGCGATAGTCATAGAGAAAGAGATAGAGGGAGAGACGTTGAGGCAGAGAGAATCTAGAGTGGGCTTGGAAGGATCCAGGATTTGCACTTAAGTCTGAACTATTCATACAGTTGGCGATATGAATGATGTAAATCTACCTGTAGCCGACTTCATTTGCTGATGCATTTTGCCTTACACTAACTTTATGAGAGAGAGAGAGATAGATAGAGAGAGAGTGTGTGTGTGTCTGAGAGAGAGAGAGATAGATAGATAGATAGATAGATAGAGAGAGAGAGAGAGTGTGTGTGTCTGAGAGAGAGAGAGAGAGAGAGAGATAGATAGATAGATAGATAGATAGAGAGAGAGAGAGTGTGTGTGTGTCTGAGAGAGAGAGAGAGAGAGAGAGAGAGAGAGAGAGAGAGAGAGAGAGAGAGAGAGAGAGAGAGAGAGAGAGAGAGATAGAGAGAGTGTGTGTGTCTGAGAGAGAGAGAGAGAGAGAGAGAGAGAGATAGATAGATAGATAGATAGATAGATAGATAGATAGATAGATAGATAGAGAGTGTGTGTCTGAGAGAGAGAGAGACAGGGAGACAGAGAAAGAGAACCAGAGATATGAAGAGAAAGAGAGAGTGTGTGTGTGAGAGAGAGAGAGAGAGGCAGACACACTGAGAGGCAGACGGGCAGACAGCCAGCCAGACAGACAGAGCGAAGGAGAGAGACAGGGAGAAACAGATGGACAGTGGATAGAGTGAGAACCAGTCCATACCCCATCACTTCACTCCAGGGTTAGCTGCTATGTGTAGCTTCATACATGTATGTAAACGGTTTGTCACCTTTTTCACAGAAGGACGTGCATTACTCCACACAATCAGCTTACCAACACAAGTGGGTTCATCGGCCGACCAGGCACCATTTGCCTGGCAACGTCGTGCAGCTGTTCCGTTCAGATTGAATCCCTCCAGACAGTAATACGACAGGCGCGCGTTGTAGCTGTAGCTCCCTGAGCTGTTAATCGACGGTGAGCGACTGTGCAGATTCGCGATGGTTGTGTTGGGTGTGTTAGGATCCGAGCACGTCACACCTGCCCAAACACAGACAGATGAACAAAGGAGGTTCTTTATCACTACCGGAATTCTGCCGTAGCTGCTTCTGATCAGCCCTGGTCTTATCGATGGGCATCGCCCATATATTATATGCGTTGACGCTGATGCGCTGATGCGCTGACGAGTCCACAAAGGACGAAACAGGTCTGTCCGCAGATTGAGGATATATTTATGCACACCACCCGGCCTGCGCGATTGCTCACACTACCACACTTGCCACATTTATCTTCACCTGTGATTCCCACCTAGTCTGGCTAGCGTGCTTCTTTTCTCCACCTGTGATTCCCACCTAGGGTGCTTCTTTTCGTCTTTTCTGGTATGTAAAGGGATACTGATGTGAGAGAAGAGTAAGTTGCCTGAAGAGTGCTTTTGCACGAAACTCAGAGTAGCAACACTGAGAAACTTGGAGATCCTTTGTGTCTGAGTGTATATATATATATACACTATATATATATATATATATATATATATATAAATAGAGACGTAGGCGAACAAAATTTATATACACACAACAACAAGGTTGTCAATTTCATAATACTAAAAGCTTTTCACCCATTTTCATCAGTAGTTACATGGGAATGAGCAAGAACGAAAACGAAGCCAGAATGTATACTGGGGGTAGAGAATCAGCAAGAATATTCTTACGCGCCTCAAGTTCACACTACACTACCATAAGAATGTATAGAGCAGTGGAAAAATGCGGGAAACAACACATGAGGGGAATGCAGTACCAGAACAAACACGTGATAAAGTTGTCAGTCCGGTTGCAGCTTGAACAGCCGTAGCACCTTGATGTGCTTCTTTTGTTGACACAGCTCTGGCCTCAAACTGCGAATGTACAGCGCCTCCAGTGTGAATCGGTGCGCGCTGTTCCGGGCTGGTGTGATGACACTGAAGCTGCTGTTGCGTTCCTGACGGTGAGAGCGGACGTACGTTGGTGAGACATGTCAGCGATTCTCGGAAAGGATCAAGCAGCATATCCCAGACAAGCTGTACAAGAAGCCGCCTGACAAACGTGTGGCAACAAGTGATAGCGCCATCACAAAGCATTTGCAGGCGCAACCTGAATGCATCCCGCAGGAACGCAACAGCAGCTTCAGTGTCATCACACCAGCCCGGAACAGCGCGCACCGATTCCCACTGGAGGCGCTGTACATTCGCAGTTTGAGGCCAGAACTGTGTCGACAAAAGAAGCACATCAAGGTGCTACGGCTGTTCAAGCTGCAACCGGACTGACAACTTCATCACGTGTTTGTTCTGGTACTGCATTCCCCTCATGTGTTGTTTCCCGCATTTTTCCACTGCTCCATACATTCTTATGGTAGTGTAGTGTGAATTTGAGGCGCGTAAGAATATTCTTGCTGATTCTCTACCCCCAGTATAAATTCTGGCTTCGTTTTCGTTCTTGCTTATTTCCATGTACCTACTGATGAAAATGGGTGAAAAGCTTTTAGTATTATGAAATTGCCAACCTTGTTGTTGTGTGTATATAAATTTTGTTCGCCTACGTCTCTATTTAAATATATACTATATTATACTCAATCTGCGGACAGCATGCTGTACTATATATATATATATATATATACACTCAGACACAAAGGATCTCCAAGTTTCTCAGTGTTGCTACTCTGACTCAGAGTAGCAACACTGAGAAACTTGGAGATCCTTTGTGTCTGAGTGTATAACCCCGCTCTGTCTTAGGACATTGAGCACTTTTTTGCCGACGCAAGAAATACTTCTATTGTTCTATATTTTTATAATTACATGTCAACAAACAATGGATCACTCGTAATATTTCGCTACTCCGAGTTTCATGCACCGTGTGCAATCATCAGGCAAACAATATATATGCTATATATAAAATTTATCTCCTTCCATTGTTTGAATATGCTGCCACAGCCTGGTGTGGCCTAGCTAAGGTCTTATCCGATTCCATTGAAGTTCATCATAAGAAAGTTCTAAAAATTTTGTTCTCGAAGAAACCTTCCTTTCCCTCCAATGAGTTGTACTTATTAGCTCAGACTACTCCGTTAGAGCAACGCCGACTAACTTGCCTCTGTATATTGGTTCATCGAATGCTCTTGGGTTGTGTTCCTGAACATATAAAGCCTTATAACTGGTTTGTTTCGGGCCGCTCAACCAGAAACAAAGTGTCTCTTCCCAAGGCCAAGTCAACGCAATTCACAAGATCGCCATTCTTCCAGGGCTACTGTGCATGGCTACAACTTCCCGACTCAGTGAAGACTTCTGCATCATTGAAAGAATTTGAAGTGAATCTGAGGGCCTGCTGATGACTGAGTGCACCATAATAATAATACTTGCAAGTAAAAACGAATCAATATAGCTTTTCGGCTGTTTCCTTTTCATGTATATAATCTTCTCCTTCTTTTACCATGGTTGGCTATCACCCACATCTTCCCGTTTTGGCTGCCATCGGAAGCCATAAGATGTTGAATAAATAAATAAATAAATAAATAAATATAATTATACGTGTGTGTGTGTGTGTGTGTGTGTGTGTTCCATATGGTGCAGTGGTATGTGCAATCGATTTCCAATCGAGAGGTTGCGGGTTCAATTCCCGACGATTATGGTCGCACACGTCTTTCTTCTCTGTCTCGGACTCTTTCTGACTTTTCTTTCATTCTCCTGGGTGGTTACCAACAGTACCAACAGTATGTGGTGTGGTGTGTGTAGAAAAAAAATGGAAAAATAGGGACAGCCTTGCAAGCTGTTGAATGGTGTAATCCCCAGCACAAGTTGCTATGTCTAACATAGCTGTTCGCTATCATCGCTTCCGCGATGGGCATGTCTGAGGTCTGAGGTCTGAGGTCTGAGGTCTGAGGTCTGAGGTCTGAGGTCTGAGGTCTGAGGTCTGAGGTCTGAGGTCTGAGGTCTGAGGTCTGAGGTCTGAGGTCTGAGGTCTGAGGTCTGAGGTCTGAGGTCTGAGGTCTGAGGTCTGAGGTCTGAGGTCTGAGGTGTGTGTGGGTGTGGGTGTGGGTGTGGGTGGGTGCGTGCGTGCGTGCGTGCATGCGTGCGCGCGCGCGTGCTTGTGCGCGTGCGCGTGCGTGTGTGTGTGACACAACGGATGAACGTGCCAAGTTTCCACTAATGTGTCAGCACTGCTCTCGGAGATTTCGGCAGTCCAGGGACCTGACCCGGCGCCGGCGTGTTTGCTCCTCTCCCTCCTCCCGCAATGGGACCACGTAACCTTTAAGGCAGTGGGTCAACAGGACAGGACAGGTGTGTGTGTGTGTAGGGGGGGGGAAGGGGGGAGGGTGTTTGTATATTCTACACCTGGCATGTGACTGAGTTATCAAGTGCGGGTGGCAAGGAGTCATTTGTTGTTTGTTGGTGTAGCTTACACTACGCACTCCATGGGGTGTACAGGCTGATAGAAACTCATTCACGTTAGGTGACCTTGGGAATCCCGTGTATATTCACTGCCATTGTACACATCCCATTGAGATTTGAGTGTACAGAAATATGGTCAACAATGGGAGTTCACATGAGCTTTTAAAAGCTCTTTTATGTCTCTTATGCTCACTTGCAGCTAGGAAGCTCCAGAAGGAATGTTATTTACAGTAAAACCTGGTGTACGCGACCTCTGGGTTTAGCGACCACCTGCTCTTAAAGACCGTTTATCCATGCACTGACAGTTCCACACAGACACTATGGCACGTGGTTCTAAAGACCACCTGGCTTTAACGACCACTCTTGCTTGCACCGCGAGTGGTCGCTTAAACCAGGTTTTACTGTATTTCGAAGCTCTGAACGTTGTCAATAGGAGTTTGGAATATCTATACATATGGCCTTTTTGCATCACCATCGTATTCGACTTGAAAAGTAACGGTACGAAAGGCCTAGTAGAAACGATATGGCTTCTGTGCTTCGTGTGCTGATATGGCCTGTTTTAAAACTGCACAGTTGAAGTACTTTGATAACTGAATACTAAGGAGTTAAGGACTAGCTGAACATTACCAACAGCAGGCTATGTGGTACATTGTGCAAAGCAACAGCAGCAGGCTATGTGGTACATTGTGCAAAGCAACAGCAGCAGGCTCACTCACCAGGGTAGCCACTACCGTAAGTCTACTTCAGCACAAGTTTTAGGCCATTCAAATGTCGGCCTCCCAGCCTACGGGCTAAAACACATTTCGGCCATAAAATGTTTGGCCTGTACTGCGGCTGCCTGTATACACTGTCACACTGAACCTTGCAAAAAAACAATTTTGGCCGCAAAAAATGGGAGGGGGGGGGGACAGGCCCTGTACAGGGGCAAAGTTTACAGTTATAATCTGTGTATACCCTTAAATGGCACTGTGCAGAACCTGGCATTGCGTGAACAGGATAAATTAATACTGGTGACTTTCCTTTCCCATCAGTTCAATTTGTGCGTACTTCATCATTTGCCTATACTGCCATCACGATTCTAGTTGAGAGTATGGCCAGTTCGATACTAGGCGAGTTTGAGATCGCAGCACCTCGTTCGCGATGATTATTGACGGAATTAAGAAGTAAATGACCCTGTTCCATACCTTCGCCACAGAACATTCCTTTGAAACCCGGGACACAGGTGCACGTTAATCCGATGCCGATGCCATCTGTACAGGTTCCACCATTTTTACATGTTGTTGACTGGCAAGTCGGGACGTCGCCACCTACAAGCAGAAGAGGAGAAAATGAATTCCAATTGGTGAACTGCGCCTTCCAACACAAAACAAACTAAAAATTCCAAACTCAACATATTGCTTATGTCATGTGCAAATATAAGGGTTAGGCTTGTATGGGCCAGAGAAGGGTAATCTGATGCCCGTGCTACACTGAACTAGGAATGCCCTGTATGATCAATAGTTTACGGTTGCTACAGTTTGTAGACCACATCAGGTAAGCCTAGTCCAAGCAATGCGTTATACATTACACTTGCAGTACAAAAGACCATGATGGGAATGCTACACTGAGCGTCATGGTAACCCATTTGGGGACAGTGCTGTTCAGCACCCAGCAAGGCTGACAATTTGCACAAAGTCTTTCCTGCCAAGAACACACACACACACACACACACACACACACACACACACACACACACACACACACACATACACACACACACACACACACACACACACACACTCACCCAAACACACACATACAAATGTATACTATACATACATACACACATGCGCATGAATGCCTACACACATGCACACACATAGTGAGCAGGGACGTGGCAACGGGATTCCAAAAAGGTCCGGCCAAATTGGATTCTTGACCAGCAACAAACATTACTGACGAACAGCCCGTTTTGCAAATTTTGGTGGGTCAACTGTTTCGAAAATTATGTCCAGCCGTGGCCCGACTCGTGGAATGGTTAGGGACCCACTCCTGGTATGGAATGGAAAAATCACACATGTATCAGAATACGGGGCCTACCCATCACTATAGTATAATTCATAATACATGTAGTGCAATTCACTATCGTCAGAGTAGATCCAATTCACCCAGAAGTCCTTTTTTGTTGACTTGTGATGTCATCACTGTCAAGCCCTACTGAAGTGCGTGCAAAAACTCCCCGATGCACAATACAACAGTATCGGAGTTGAGCATGCAATATCTGTTACGCAATCGACAATGATGAATATCTGTGCTACGTACTGCCTGACATTGGTTCCTCGGTGGTCGGCGGTGGTTGGGTGGGCACTGCCTGGGTAGTCGATGCCTGTGTGGTCGGCACCCTCAGTGTTGTCGGCTCCTGGGTAGTCGGTGCTGGGGTTGGTAGTGCAGGGGTGGTTGTTGCACGCATGGTTGGTGCAGGTGTGGTTGGTCCCCTTGTGGTTGGTGCAGGTGTGGTTGGTCCCCTTGTGGTTGGTGCAGGTGTGGTTGGTCCCCTCGTGGTTGGTGCAGCTGTGGTGGGTCCCCTTGTGGTTGGTGCAGGTGTGGTGGGTCCCCTCGTGGTTGGTGCAGCTGTGGTGGGTCCCCTTGTGGTTGGTGCAGGTGTGGTTGGTCCCCTCATGGTTGGTGCAGGTGTGGTGGGTCCCCTTGTGGTTGGTGCAGGTGTGGTTGGTCCCCTCGTGGTTGGTGCAGGTGTGGTGGGTCCCCTTGTGGTTGGTGCAGGTGTGGTTGGTCCACGAGTGGTCGGAGATGGGGCAGTCGGTGGTCGTGTAGTTGGTGCAGGGGTAGTTGGTCCACTAGTGGGCACAGGTGGGATTGTGGGTGCGTTAGTTGGAGCTGGTGGGATTGTCGGCGCATTGGTTAGGACTGGAGGGGTTGTGGGTGCACTGGATGGGGTTGATGGAGTTGGTGGGGTTGTGGGTGCACTGGATGGCACTGGTGGAGTTGGGGGTGCACTGGATGGGGTTGATGGGGTTGGTGGGGTTGTGGGTGGAACTGCTGGTGTTGTGGGTGCATTAGTTTGGACTGGCGGTGTTGTGGGTGCATTCGTTTGGACTGGTGGTGTTGTGGGTGCATCAGATGGCACTGGCTGGGTGGAAACAGGTGGTGGTGTTGTGGGTGCATCAGATGGCACTGGCTGGGTGGAAACAGGTGGTGGTGTTGGAGGCGCTGTGGCTGTTGAAGTGCAGTTCACACCATTCCCAGTGAATCCCGGGTGGCAGGCACAGGTGAAGGAACCGATTGTGTTTGTACAGCTTGCGTGAGAATTACAATTGTCCAGGGACATCACGCACTCCTCCACATCTGGATAGGTGTCACGCAACAAAACAACAGATCTCCGTGAAGAAAATAGCAGTGGTATGTCAAGGAAATGACAGATTAATGCAATCGATACCAGGTTCATTATTGCCACTGCGAATTTTTCAAAGATGACCATGAATGCAAAACAACAGATCTCCGTGCAGAAAATAGCAGATTTATGCAATCAATTTCAGGTTTACTATTGCCACTGAGAATTTTTCAAAGATGACCATGAATGCAAAAACAACTGATCTCCGTGCAGAAAATAGCAGATTTATGCCAAGGAAATGACAGATTTATGCAATCAATTTCAGATTTACTATTGCCACCATTGCCACTGTGCAGTTTTCGAAGATGACCATGAATGTTTGTTTACTTTTGTTTGGCCAGCATTGCAGCCAAGATTGCGGGTCTGATTGGCAATATCTATGGTACTCATGTGACAAATCTCTCTGTCTAGCACCCAGTTTTGTGTCCATTTTTATTGCCGAAGCCATGCCAAAGGTGATGACATCACAAAGTTGTTGTTGTTGTTGTTGTTGTTGTTGTTGTTGTTGTTGTTGTTGTTGTTGTTGTTGTTGTTGTTGTTGTTGTTGTTGTTGTTGTTGTTGTTGTTGTTGTTGTTGTTGTTGTTGTTGTTGTTGTTGTTGTTGTTGTTGTTGTTGTTGTTGTTGTTGTTGTCATTGTCGTTGTTGTCGTTGTTGTTATACTTGTCAATGGTAACAATAGAGTTGTTCGAATTTATGCACTCGGCATCCACGCAGTTATACAAGTAGGCAAGAAAGCAGCAATGCATGCTCATAATGGCAAAGTAAAATAAAATATACCAACTAACCAACCATTCTCGGCATATCAGCCGAGAGAAAAGGTGCAATACCTCTCTTACCGTCGCACGTCGTTGCTGAATCAGACCACCTGGCCAGACCAGCTTGACCAGCTTGTATTATGCAACGTCTCTCTAACACACCAATCCTCTGGTAGCCAGGATGGCAGTAGTAGAATGCTGTTGCACCAAGGTCCGTGCGGTTGTACTCAACAGTGCCATTTGATGGGACTGGCAGCTTCTTGCAGTCATCTGAACACGAGCCAAATCACAAAAAGCACTCACCACGCGTCCATTTGCACAATAGGGTTCGAGTGGTCCAATGTAGAAGTGCTCAACACTAAGCGACAAGCCAGTGGGGAGCAATAGAATGCCAGAACACTCAGCTGTGTATGTGCAGGATTCCCATTACATTGTGTACAGTATTACACTCTCGCACAATATATTTGGACTTAAAATTGTACCCGTCTCGTTTTCCATGATCTGTGGTGTACAGGAGAAGTCCTGGTGTGGAAACATGTATTATTGCACTTTATTGTGTTTGGTTTTTGAAAGGCTTTGAAGACCATCAAATTCAAAGGATCAGTCGGGGAAGTGAACTGCCTGAAAAGAGAAAAATTATTCCAACCCGATCGTGACTCAAGCCTGGGACCTTGCTTGTCATGAGCTATGCTCTAACCATCTGTGCAACGGGGCAAGGCCGAACCTAGAAGGTGCTGACAAGTTTCCCCCACTGATAGTCTTGACTTGCAGTTTTACGATACGCAAAACGATAGTGACAAGATTAGAGCCGGTGTAGCCAAGGGGATCCTCCACTTACGGTAGACGCAGACAGGAGTGCCAGGCGGATTGCTCTGGAAACCCTCCGCAGTGCAAGTCTGGCTGATGGGACCGGAGAGAAGACTTCCCTGATTACAGCTCCACATGATGGTCCCGAGCAGTTGTATCGGTGTGGTCTGGGACGTGTACGATCCATTCACGACAATTGGCGGCGTGTGAGGGCAGACTGCAGGGGAAAGGCAGACACATTTTATTGTTTCCCATGCGTGGCACAGAGCGCCAAGGGTCATCCCAAAGAACATGCCATGCAGCCCATATCAAGGCAATTGCCCGTAGCCAAATGTGAAAGTTCAAATTTTGCCTTTTCGTCTGAGGAGTTTTCAGACTAAATAAGTGCCAGACTAAAGACGATTTGTTCAGCTCAATACATGTCATCAAGTGGACTTAACACTGGAGTTACACACACAACAGAGGCGAAAGGCTGTGTAGCCGTAACTAACTTTAAGGTTCACGAATTTCAGCGATCATCAGACAGCAGCATCGACGAAGCTTCTACGAGCAGGCCTAGATATTTGATGCTATTGCGGAAGTTAGTGCGTATGTGTGAAGTGTAGACATGGCATTGGGACAGTGCTACTGAGTTGTTTCGCCTGTGTGTTGTGTGTGTGTGTGTGTGTGTGTGTGTGTGTGTGTGTGTGTGTGTGTGTGTGTGTGTGTGTGTGTGTGTGTGTGTGTGTGTGTGTGTGTGTGTGTGTGTGTACACTGCTCTGTAGATTTGTGCATTGAGCACTCTACCTCGAGCTGCCTAGACCGGCCTTGTTTGTAACACTGCGGTTATGTTCTCTTGATGTTAGGGTCCACAAACCAAAATTTCAACCCGACAAACTCCTTCTTTAGAATAATATTACTCACCAACTTATTTGTTCTGCTTTCACAGTAATACTCGGACTGTGTATAACTTTGCACTCACCTTGTCCTAATGATATCTTTGCCAAGGACAGGAAGAGCAGGGCTGATAGCGATAGCCGAATCATGGTGACAGGACTGGCAGAGCTGTCCAAAGCGTGGAGTTGCTAGCGGTTCTCCACCTAAACACATTGATCAGATGAACCACCCGAGAACACCCTCAACTCCCTCCCGTGAGTGGGTGCATACAATTGCGGTGAATGCTGTGCTTCTTTGCGAGCACAACCTACGGAATAGCGAATTAGCTCATCATCTATATGTATGCTCTGCAATTGAGCACTCTCTGCAGCTCGGGGATCAACGGATTTGTATGTTCACATGGTATTAGATAAACCTTGTTTTTGTCAACCAACAACATGTATGTACATGTACTTGAAGTACGCCGCGTTTGGTATCCCACTTGCATTATCTAAGTATTCCGTTGCATTTGTAGCATATTTAACGTTACCAACCCAGCCAAAGCCGTTCCCACACACGCCCAGTTTCCCTCTGTTTCCTCTCGTTCTCCTTTTTTCTTGTTTTCCGCCTTTTTCAGCCAGTATTCTCTCTCCAGCAATTATTTTACTTTCTTAATTTTGTGCCTTCCTTTTTGTTGTTTGAAAAGATAGCACCTAGAGTCGTCGTATGCTTTGCATGCTACTTCACTAAGTGCACTCCTCCAACACCAACAGAGAAATCATGTTTATGTGCGCCGCACTGGTCACAACTCGCATTTCAACTACCACAAAATAGTTGATTTTGAACACTCGTGGTACTGTGCCATTTCCCTTACTTCTTCAAGAATTCCTGGTATGCCGTTAATTGCCCTAGTTTTCCGGTAGAATACCGGGAAAACCAGTATGGTTGGCAAGTATGTTGTAGTGATATACCGTATACTGCATATAGAGTTATAATGTTCAAAGACCAACGCCTTTGGAAACACACCTAATCGTTGTACTACAAAGCCCATCCCACGATGTCTACACTTTGTCCATTGAGCAGTATCGCCAAAGCTGTGACTGACTGCCAGTGTGTGTGTGTGTGTGTGTGTGTGTGTGTGTGTGTGTGTGTGTGTGTGTGTGTGTGTGTGTGTGTGTGTGTGTGTGTGTGTGTGTGTGTTTGTGCGTGTGGCTTTTCCCAGAACCAGAAAAGCCACTTAATAGCTGTGTGGTGTAGACCAGGCTGAATAGTGGCGGTCAATTCTTCAGCCTTGCAAGCTGTTGAATGGTGCAATCCCAGCAAAAGCTGCTATAGCTTCTGCTGTAGCATCGCTATCATCGCCTCCGGCGATGGGCGTCCAATGGTCCAATGGTGTGTGTTTTTGCACTGTGCTCTGTAGTTGATCCGGTTTGAAAGAGGTTGGCATCGACCAGAGTGTTGTCAGCGCCTAGACACTAGGTACCAACCGATGAAAACGACATCGTCTAAAGAAAGGTCGCCCAACGGCAACGCTGGGGGTTTTCTGCGTCACTTGACCACCGAACTTATAAGACTAAGCGCAGTTTGCACTATCCTCGCCATAGACCAAAACAAACACTTGGAACAGCAGACTGGCGACTTGCCTACAGACCTGTGCCAGCACTATACGAGTTGGTTCATCGGGATCTGATCCGTTTCCGCAAGCTAGTACATGTATGTCATTACTGTTCGTGGTAAGCCAAACAGGAGTTTGCATCACTGGTGGCCGGAGTCGTTGTGGCACTCTAAATGGAAGTAACAGTTAGCTAGCGCTGCTGCGCATGCGGTGCTCACAGCAGTCACAAACTTGCGATTTCTATGCCCATCGACGTTGGGGTCATCCGCCCAGTCATCCGTCCCACTGTATCGGTACCTTCCTTGATTCCGTTTACGTGCGTGTAGCGGAATTTCGACTTCGACCCACTTTCAGATTGCACAGGATATGTGAAAATAGGCATAGTTAGTCGGTGGGACTTACCTGAGCGGTGGGTGAGTGGACAAATCGCGTCGACCTCGTTGCTTGCTCCTGTCCGAGATGGTTACGATGAGGTCGTAGGCAATCAATCACTTTGCGCTCCTCCCAAACTTCACTCTTTGGTCGACTGATCGTCACTCATCCACAGGCTTTTTTTCCTGAGCAGAACCAGTTCCGACAAGAAAGAGGACTCTGTGATCCCTTCTTCCTGCGACCTACAGCAACAATCATTTCATCTGAAGACTGAAGGGCCACAGCCAGATGATCAGTATGCTTGATAATACATACCTCGTCCATGCAGTCGCGAGGTCTCGACGTTGGCTGATTCTCGCGGCCAGGTGAGAAATGCCACGCCGAGCCAGGACATGGCCAGATCTGGAGAAAGATTTTTCCACCGACTGTCAGCGTCGAACCGCAGCGACCGAGCTGGGCGGCCCGTAGCAGGAGCTCTCGAGTTCCTCACGAGACGTAGACGTAAACTCTCGCAGAACGATGACCTATGACTATGTTGAGTGTTTTCTGCTGGTGCGTAACAGCCGATACTGATAGAGGCAGCTTATGGATGAGCGCGCAGATCTACAGACTACACGTCGGGACGATAGGCTACACATGTTTTCAAAGTACTGAAGAGGAAAGGCTTCCCACCACAAACGTCTGAGCGAGCCCAAACCTACTTACTATTTTTGTATATGGTCATGTATAAGTAAAACCATGCAGGTCTATAAATTAGCTGAAACACAACACGAATCGTCCGTGATCTTGTGGCAGCCAACACCTATGAATATACGGCTATAATAGGGACACGGTGGCGGTACAACCAGGTGTATTGGCTAGTAGACTCTCTACTTGACGCTTTTTTGCTAAGAAAAACAAACAAACTGAAACACAACACGAATCGTCCGTGATCTTGTGGCAGCCAACACCTATGAATATACGGCTATAATAGGGACACTGTGGCGGTACAACCAGGTGTATTGGCTAGTAGACTCTCTACTTGACGTTTTATTGCTAAGAAAAACAACAAACAAAGCAGAAAACAATTACATACACACCTAGTACCTGGCTACGACTACGAGCACATCTACGATGCACATACAACAGTGCTGGCAACTGAAATCCGACCACCTGAGCTGAGCGGTACACTCACATCGCAAAGACCCAACACAGGATTGTAGCACTACGAAATAGAGACCGCTAGAATGTGAACGCATACGTATATACATGTATGTATGCCGTAAATTCTTCTTTCCCGCTTGAACTGAGTTGAAGATTCTGTTCATGTAACACAGAAGAAGATTGTGGATTCTCACACAGCGGATTGCTACGCAGTACAATTTTACTGTTATTTCGTGTGTTTAGTCTTCAGGCTACAGTCCACATTGGTGGCAACGGAAATCTGGCCGAAGGACTCGATCCGAATTTTTCTTCTTCTTTGCAGTTCCGTTTCCGTTAACATGTACATGTACGTCCTGTTCTTTTCCAGTTGATCCCTTTATATCAGTACCCTGGCACTGTTGGGTCACCCGATTTCCAACAAGAATACAATGTACAATGTACAGCTCACTAACTAACCAACTACCTACAACCATTGTATATAGCCCACTATTATACCCAGTAGTCATGGTAGTCGTAGTGCTACTGCTAGACCCGCACACTCCCCCATTTGCATTATGCATGTAACCGGATTTATAGAAACTATCCTGTGGATCCCGGATGCCACGACAAAGGTATCTGGTAAGAGCCTGGTGAAGGAATTCGCATTCAACGGTTTCGAGCTACCCAACGCCGTTAATGTTATGAAGAAACAAATTCCGAGTAGACGACCACGTTCTTCCCAGCACCTTGAGATGTGTTTTTTGCTACTGATGGTCAGTTATCGCGGAGTCTCATTCGTATCAGATCAAATTGAATTTTTGATGATGCACATGCACAATATACTGTTTTTCAGTAAAACAAAATAATGCATGTCATTGTACTGTATACTTGTACATGTGTTGTGGAACTGTCTGTGCAGTGTCTTCTTCGCAGGCTTCATCAGCTCAGGCAGCGCCTGTTGAGTTCGTTTAGTTGATTTTGCTCCCCCTTCTCCGGCCCGGCCTGTGCGTTGCGGTGCGACCTGTCGAGAACTTGCAACATTCCACACGTCAACAGCTGCTGTGCAGAAGTAGCACAAACAGTCAACACTGACAACGGCAGCGGTCAGTGAGCACAGAGATGGTGGGGATAATCGATAATGCGTGCATGCCACCAAAACGTGTGCGTTCAGCTTTTCACTTACTATTCATTGTCAAGTCTGTACATCTGACCATACATAATGTCATTGTACAATGTATGAAGCATGCATGGTCGGCAAAGACTAAGTGCAAGTACCAAATTTAGAAGCTTTTGGAATGGTCAAGGAGCTCTTGCTGTAAGATCCCCTATGATATGACAAGACGCTGTGTTCTTGTGAACTGGGATAGTGAGCCAGAGGTAAATTGAGAGACATTCTAGTGCACGAATGGGGTACAGCTAGCCCTTTCCCAAAGGTGCTCGCCCTTTTTGGCCCTTTTTGGAAAAGCCCGTTTCTTTCGCCCTTTATTGCGTTTTTTGGTGAATATCGCCCTTTTTGAGCTTTTTTAGCTGAAAAAGTGCTAACATCTGTTTGCTCAGATCATGCATGCGGTCACAGTTTCCGAGTGCTCGATCGATGGGCCTTGGCACGCCGCTTTTTGGGGGGGGAACAAGTTGGTGAAGCTTATAAAAAGTGGGTTTTTTGAACTTCCCTTTGCGTTTCGTGGACCCATAATGTAAGAGTGTGTATTCGTTTCTCAGCTTGGGTTCATATCTGAACATGTATCATGGCTATGCTTCACTGAAAAAGAGCACTTTTTGCCTGTTTTCACTGAAAAAGAGCACTTTTCAGCATATTTTGAGGGACGCGAAAAGCACTAAGTGCGAATTAAAAGAGCACCTTTGGGAAAGGGCTAGGTACAGCCCTTTGCTATGCATCTGTCCATATGGGCCGATAGTGTTTACGGACAGTTTAATATGTCTACCAAAGAGTGGTGCACCCAATTTTCACTGGTCAGAACATGCAAGGAATCAAATAAAGTGTAACATGGAAAAATGTGGGCAAAAGTTATGCGGTCGAGTCCACCAACTAAACCAGATTTTGAACAGTGAGACGTGCAAAATCTAGCACAAAACTGACAAGGAGTACTGGGACATTCCACGGCATGAAAATCAGCTTGAGCACTGCTCAATAGCGCTAACCAACGGCCTTGCAAGGTTCATGAAATGTCTCAGTACTCCTTGTCATTTTTGTACTAGATTGTGCACGTCTGACTGTTCAAAATCTGGTTTAGTTGGTGGACTCGGTCGAATAACTTGTGCCCACATTTTTCCATGTTACAATTTTTTCCTTAGCTCTCCATCTGAGTTCTTAGAATAAAGCTGGTTGCAAAAAGACAGTACGTGTACGAGTACAGGTATGCACTGAGATATTCTAGGACATGACTAAAAGTCTAAGCAGTAAGCTCGATCACGGCTTGATAGCCCAAACAACGACCTTCCAATCTGTAGTATCTCTTGGATTAACACAAGTCATTCAATATTGAAGAAAGGAATGTTATTCTCCTTTATACGATTGCATGTACATGTACATGTACATGTACATGTATGTCATCATAGCAGGAGTTGCATGTTAGCATGGTGGACTAGTTATGTGGAGTTCAGTAGGATGTTGCCCTTTCGGTTTGTCACAATTCGTCTTCGCTTAGCTTCCCCTGTCTATGTTTATTACATAAACTAGAGCCTCCCAAGTTAGGTGGTCTGTTGCTTTGCGTCATCGAGTTGTAGTTAGGGAACCACGGATTCTGCTCGAAAAGGTGGCAGATTCTGCTCTAAGAGCAGTGAAATTGGCAGAACCATACAAACCTTATGGCGGGCAATTCTTCGAATTCTGCTCCATTTTTTATCCACATACCAAACATGCATGAAACTTACCAGAAAAAGTACCGAATTCTGCCAATTTTTCTGCCGGCAGAATCCGCCGGACCCTAGTTGTAGTAAGGCCGATATTGCCAATATTCTTACTAGTTTCGTCATCATCCAGTAACTTTCGGCATTCTTTGTTGCCGTGGGACATACATGTAGCTCGCGCTCTTCTTCGTTGCGCTTTCCTTCCCCTCTTGGACCTTTCCTTACCTGAGCATTCCAAGTTAGTTGGAAGGTTGTTGGTTTGCGCCTCGGAGGAGTGTTGGAGCTGGGTGTCAAGTCGTTGAATTTCTCAGCACTCCTTGTCAGTTTTGTGCCATTTTGTCGCACTCGCTGACTGTATAATTATGATCTGGTTACGTTGGTGGACAGTTAGTCATAACTCATAACATTTTTCTTTCTCCTTTTTCACCATAATTAAATTATTTATCATTGGCTTACCATCCGAGTTCAACAAAACAAAAATATACATTCTACATGATTGTACCGGTACATCATCTGTCCCAACTTCTGTATTGTTTGCATGACTGCACTAGTAGATCTACATGACTGTACATGACTACATGTACAATAGTACAATGTAAGTCTCGAACTCTGGTCTCTGGCTTCTCGGACCGACTGAAGTCTGCATGCAGTTGACGCAACCCGTCAATACAGCATTGTACATCACTACATGTACTACTCCCTCGTGTCCACCATACAGAACCACTGAGTCGTATAAACCGGGTTTATGCGACTCCCTGTACAGAAGAACCAACAAACAAGCTACGCTTGCTCTATCGAATTCGCAACCATAGCAACAGCAGAAATTTGCCCACCTATATGTACCTGCCTCGGCATGGCACACAGGAATCGAAGCAGGCTTTCAGTTTTACGACTCCCGGGTCGAAGCAAGGACCGGATCAGGCATTAGGTGCGTTGAAGGCTCCACCCGCACAGTCACTGACCCAGAGTCAGTCCGTGTCACTGTCGACGATGTCAGATGGGCGTTCACAGCTGGCGGGCCTAGCAGTGAACGATGTCGTGAGATCATGGGCTGTGGAAGAGAGGCCTGCTCGGTTGACATGACACTTTTCGAAGTCCTAGTTTTCGCTACAAACGACTCTACTACTAGTACTACTAGTCTGTGACTGCATGTGGAGTCTGGGCTCTGAGCCAGACATGAGGTTATTTGGGACCTGCAACTGACCTGTTGACCATGGTTGACACGCCAGACGAGCACCAAGATTTGAGGAAACACAGCGAGCTCTTGAAAATTTTGATTGATTTCCACAATCTCTCTGTTCGTCCTTTTTCCAGGACGAGTAAACAAAGATGTTTCGTGTCTCTCCACACGGAGTAGGAAACCATCGAAACAATAATGATATGTAGAGGTACTTGTTCTCGCAGGGTTGAAATGGTGATAATCTAATCGAGGGATTGAGAGTTTGCAGCCAGAAATTGGTACCGGTGATTCATACGCGTTCAATCGGAATTGTTTACGCTCGGCAATACAGCAATCTTGTCCGTAGTATTCACAAGCTGAACTGAGCAGCGAGGGGCTGCACGTTGTCTCGCCGCAGAGCTCTGCAGAAGATGTGGGCACTACGTCCGCGACAGCAGGGCGAAGGCGTCGCGCTCCGCACGTTGCTCCTAGCATTGGCTTCATTCTGCTCCTTCTGGAGATGTGGCAACAGTCAACTGAGCAAGTGCTTTGGCCCCAACAAGGATGCTGTGCCTATCGGAGATGCGCAGCCAGGAACTGGTGGCTATTCTCTGGATGTCCGAAAGACAACGCTGGACGAGTATGAAGGTGAGAAATCCATGCAGTGCCACAGTGGGACCATTGGTCTTACCGGTATACCACGAACGAGGTTTGTCGATGAAGATAGTCATACCCGGTCCCCCTCTCAGCAGTACAGCCCCGTTTTGGATCAAGATTCATATCGGTATTCACATACATTATATAGATGATTATCTTTGTATGCGTCATGTATGGGTGACCTGTGGTGGCATAGTGCATTAGTGGTGCAGTTCGATTGCCAGCACACTCAAACGTACTGAATGATCATTCTAACATGCAATCATGTATACAATAGCGAGAGTTCCCAGATTGCCTAGAGTGCTCAACACCACAACGGGATGGAGCACTACCACAAAGGCAGAAGAGAACAGAGACAACCGGCTAGGTCATTCAGTGTTGTAATGCTGCGTTTCATGCACATAGCAAAGCTAAGGCAATCCTCAGACAACAGCATTACATGTGCAATCATGTACACGTAAATCTGTTTTATAGAATTGATCACTATTGTGAAATGGGATTTGTTGGTCTGGAAACAAATGTGAAGACTCCTCCTCGTTAGACATTAATATTTTATCCAAATTCTCCCTATGGCCGTAGCCATCATCACATTCGCTTTCATGTTATAGGGTTCTTGCCCGTTTGAAGTTGCGAATTCAAATAAATACAAAAAAACAAGATTTCGAAGTACCTAATGTTCAAACAAAGTCACCATTTTCATGTGCTAACTGGATTCAGTTTGTTTCTGTATGTATCACTCGGTTCGAGTAAAATTAATGCAGGTCCCATTTTTCATCTTCAACCAGATGGAAGTTGATAATGTAGTTTGAAGGTACCGATCCAGGACGGTTCAACTTACCTGGGACTCTTGCTATGGCGTACTTGGTCAAACCAGCAAAGCGAGAGATGCAATCTCTGCCCACAGAGTTGTATAGAGGCTCATTAGGCATGGCGAGCCAAGATTAGAAAATTCAAAATTTATACAAAATTTTCTCACTATGGCCAGTACAGGGTACGTGCAGAGCTGTGATACTCTTGACTACGATCGTACAAGTTCACAATTCTATTGCCTTGCCTGCTTCCTAGAAATATGGTTCTGTATATCCCGAGTGGACTTCAGAGAACTCTCAAAGAGGATTTGGCTGCAGAGAAAGCAGCACTAGCAAAAAGAGATTCTGAATCTTTCCATGGGCTCCCGGTTGGTCAGGCCATGGCCGGACCAACTTTTACGCTACCAACGTGTGTTTACTGCTGAGGAGGTCATGTGTGTACCCTCCATATCATACACAAACTGTATGAAAAACTAGGGTATGACCAGACCAATCAAAAACTGCTTCCCCGGTCCTGCTGTGTGAAGTGTTGGTGTTACTAGAGGTTATGAGAGCGATATACCACAGCCCAGAGAGTGCAGACATGTATCACTGAGCCGTGCAGAGCCATCTCACATGCCAGTGAAAAGCACTACTTGAGTAGGCTTCTGTCATGTCCAAAGTCAGTGCTGGATCTCACTCCGCAGTGCGTGCACTTCCGTTCAAGCACTACACCAGCAGAAGCATATGTGGGCAGCTAATGAGAATGTGGCTCGCAAACACATCCAGCGCTGATCATGAAAAATGAACTCTCCCCTGTGCCAAGAGATTTTGTCATATTTCACCCAACACTATAAGGTATGGAACGTGACCAAATAGGTGAGGTGGAAACAAGAGCTACCGTTATTATTAGATTAGACCGATGAATAGTGTTGACAAGTAGCAAGGTGGACATTGAGCGAAGCACAACGTATGGAGTCTATTTATTTGGTGCAATCACCAATGGTGATAGTCGTATACCTCTATTCCCATGGAAATGCAAAGTTATAGCACCTGTATTCTGCATGTACTGGATTATGATAGAACTTTACACCCACATCATTCTTTTCTATACTCTATGTCTTTGTTTCTCCACACGTTTCTTGCCTTTGTTGTCCAAGTTTAAAAGTCGCGCTGACCATTCACAGCTCTAACTTGCACACTCTGTAGCATACAGTCCATTGCTTTATCTCTCTGTCTCTCCCTCTGCCATACTCTGTGTGAGACCGGTGAGTGAAGATCGAACTTGGCTGCTCTGTGTCATGTGCGTCTAAAGAGAAACCCTCCAGGAGAACCCCAGAGTTCTCCACCCGTCATCACTACTTTTTATCACTCTATGGAAGTCTGTGACATGATACAATATGCATCCTTTAGGTAAAGACATGTATTTACTCAAACTTCAGGGCTTTACTCAGTTCATATCTGCTGTGTCTATGATGTTTTTTTTGGTTCAGTTTACGCAAAAGGTCAGGTGCCTTTCGTCAACATCTTAATCGAGTCCTCGGAGTTGGGCAGTTGGTCGCCACTGAATGCCAGTAGCATAGCAAACAGCATTGACCAAAGCTTGTGTTCAGGCTCTGTGACAAATGCCGTCCCCATCATGGACATGGAGTTTGGTTTGGTGTTCAGGACTGCATCTACATCGTGTATTGTATTCACGTAAGTACCCTGTCTAACCTTTGGCTGGTGTCCATTCACTATTAGATAGAGGTCATACCCCCAAGAGTGTGCCTTTGCCTGCACAACCTGTATACAGTGTCACGATGGCAGAACTATTTCACATCACGTGACATGGTTCAAAAAATATGCTGGCAAACAGTGCAAGGTGACCACAAGAGAGTTGAACCCGAAGCAGTGTATCTATCATGCACAGGGTGCAAATCATGTGTACAGGTCCGTCACATGATGTGAAGTTTTGCCGTCGCAGACCCCATAGCTAGAGTTGCACACTCTTTGGGGTTATGTACATGACTGTACTCTTGGTATCAGTGGCTTGGGAAATGATCTTTGGCATTGCAAGATAATTGCACTGAATCCCTAACTGACCCAGTCTTTTGACGACAGATATTATCAACTGCCGTCGTGGAGGACCAAGTCATGAACAGCACAGTGGATGCTGAGCTTGGGAACATAATTCCCATTTTGTCGAACTGAAGAGTGCTCCAATTTACCTTTTCTACAACAATATACACCCCATAGTCATCCCAACTTGATGGGTACTGTGCAAGATGTTTACCAATGGTTTTAACCATTAGTTGATCCTCACTCTGAACTGACAACATGTAACCATCGTACAACTGCAATGACGCATTTCTGTGCATGAAAAGCAGATAACACGTAGTGGAACGACACCGCATATGTACTTTATGCTTGGCACGCCGTATCACTGATTGATTCATGGTCAGCATTTGGAGTCAAAGCCACAGGCGAAATGTTTTAGTCTTTTTAGGCGTTTCAAAGTCCGGCTAACACCCCGGAGAATACTGTATCTGTCTTGATTGTCCCGTCATGTTTCGCCTCATACAGTCTCCAAATGTCAAAAATTGCAACTCTACTAAAACTATTAATCCCTCTATATTTAGCGCATGTGCATGTATGCCCGAATGGTTTGTGCTTTTATGTCTCTATCCAGGTTGACCGTAGTGAGAAACAATGACACGTGGTTTGCGAATATCACATCCGATAGCTGCCAGGTAAATAGTGTACGAGGATAGAGAAGCCGGGCTCAATGAACTCAGTCCTCGTGAATCGCTTAGCAGCCCGCACCTGGTGTATGCACAGTCCAGTGCTTGCAGGGCTAGGGCTGCACGGTGCCCGGTGCTAACTAAACTCACGATGCCAGGGAGTCGTTCTGCACTGTAACATTGTAATGACAAGTGATGAACACATACTAGTAAAGTAATTCCATTGCTCAAACATTGCTCAAAGCCGCCAAAATGACTTGATCAATGTTTCTGGTTTGAGCAGGTTACAAAGGAAGCATAATGGAGAGGAGTTAAAGGAAACACTTTCTATATCTGTGCTGGGGGGGGGGGGGGATTTGTAGCACAGCCTCACCGGCCGTATATGCTAAGATAACTCCCTCTTGTCATTCTCATATTAATCACCTAGACCTCTTGTGCTGAATCTTTAATGTGACACTCCTCTTTCTCGAAATCTTGGTGTGCTTCCCAGCACCATTCCCAGCACCATTGCCAGCACCCCCCCCCCCCCCCAGCATTGCCGTGTCACTGACTTGTTACAGTTACAGAGACATCAATGTCCTAAATCAATAATCATCCTTCATTGCATGTACATGTGTGTGTGTGTGTGTGTGTGTGTGTGTGTGTGTGTGTGTGTGTGTGTGTGCGCGTGTGCGCGTGTTCGTGGGTGTTTCTGATTTCTTCTTCTTTTCTTCGTCAGTCCCAAAACGGATCAGAAATTGGTAAGGATAGCTCAGCACTATCTCCTGATGTTTGATTCCTTACACTTTGCCCACATGCATGGTCAATTCATTCATACGATGATGAATGGCAGAGGTCAAACATATGTTGCATGATTTAGTCAGAACGGGCAGTGTGGAGCGACGGGTACGATAAAGGTTTGTGTAAAATCAGCAGCCCACAACGTTATGGATCTTAGGCTACACAGTCGAGTTTGTCCTCTCCCCCCACAGAGCTCAGTACCGCAAGGGGTAGAGCTTCCTTATACGTAAGGTAGCATAGGGCTTTGTTGCGACTCATTCAACCTTACTTGTGTGGATTTTAGGCTATATAATTTTGACGGCTTCAGTGTCTGCGCTAGGATTTCTAACCTACCGGGTGCACGTGTACCTGGCACAGCCATTGCAACCGGGTCAGAGCCGGCTCCGTTCAATTGCGGCTATTGCATGTACATCGGCCTATGACCAGGGAGTTGTAAATATTTTAGGGCTCCCTGATCAGATGTATATTGTTTTCCCAACAGGGTCACAGGTGACCCGGTGTTCTTTTCCAAACGGGTCCAAGTACCCCCCAACCGGGTCGCTTGACCCGGCTGACCCGGTTCCGGAGAAGACAATGGGCTTTGACATAGGGCATGCTTCTGTAAAGGACAGTTTGTTGTGGCATGGCTACATAAGACCATGTGAACATGCATGCTGTCCAACCGTCCTGCTTTGAGCAGGACAGTCTTGCTTTGGACCAAAACATTTGTGTACATGTGCATGGCAGACAATTGCCTTACTATACATTTTATATAGGTGTCCTGCTTTGGAAAGGTGGCAAGGTTGGACAGTCTGTATAACATGTATGTGCCTATGATCCAGTTTGAAAAGTCAGGCATACATGTACATCCCACAACAGGCTTCTTGGCACCGAAGTGCACGTGAACAGGAAGCAGCTTTAAAAGAATATGTTGTGCTGCATAAGGGAATCTCATGGTGTGTAGATAAAAGAGCTCAGTATCCATGACCAGACACTGGTATGCAGTTGGCAGTGGTGCATGGCCATCAACTTTGATCTTTTCTAGTTCTCTGCTGGAGAGCCAATAGAAGACGGGTGGGTAGTATTTTCATGTCAGCATTTGGCGCCTGGTTTGTAGGTCTGATGGCTGATCTATCCTCCCCCAACTTTAGGGAGATGCATGTGATGCCCAATCATGGGGTGGTGGCGTACCATGAGAGTGGAAAGATGGTCCTTGACCTGCCCTGTTCGTGGATCCATAACAGTATATCAGAACTATTGTTATAGTTACGTTGTGAATAAGTGTCGGCTTTGGTTTTAGGAGCTGCATCTGCGCCTTGATCTTAGAGGGTGGTGGCGTTCTTGCGGATGCGGAAAACTCGGCTTCCAGCCAAGTCTCACACGAACCGTGATGTTTTGGTATCAATAAGCTAAAAAGCTTCATTCTTCCCTTCACATGCCTGGCTTTTTGGTTTGTCAGACTATGACAGTGGTGCAGATATGGGTAGCAAGTCACAGTGTGCACTCGTGCGAGAGTGAATGCATGCATGTGTTTGCATACTTCCGCCTATCTCCCTGCATGTCCTGCCTGCCAACCTGTCTACCCTTATGACCGTGTGTACCTGCATGTTCGCACAGTTGGATGTGGACCACCGCCAACCTTGAACGATGCTGATCTGTTGGTGGCCTCGGAGGACATTGCGGCCTATCAATGCCGGCCGGGCTTCCGAGAAACTGGCGTCCTCAACATAACCTGTTTCGACGACAACGAGTGGGAAAACACAACACAGGAGTGCAGGGGTGAGGATTTGTAGAGTTTCTGTTATGTTTGACCTTTCTGAGGGTAAGGAAGTCAAGATTATGTTTTGGTAGTTAATCTGCAAGGCTGCACCATATTGTGGACATGTTGTTCATTGGAAATCCATTACATGTGGGTCTAGCAAGAAAGAGGGGGGTATGCTGGAACGATAGAGCATTTCCTCACAGCAATATCTGTCAGGAGACTATTTCACCACTTCTGGTTCTTGTACTTGCGTCGGCTTATGCATAATTATATATATATGTGTGTGTGTGTGTGTGTGTGTGTGTGTGTGTGTGTGTGGTGTGTGTGTGTGTGTGTGTGTGTGTGTGTGTGTGTGTGTGTGTGTGTGTGTGTGTATGTGTGTACATAAGTAAGTTCGTGTGGGAATGAATGTGTGTGTGTGTGTGTGTGTGCGGGGGGGGGGGGGGGGGGGTTGTATACACATCCACGTGTGAGCTCTCAATCTCCGGACAGCTAGCTAGTGCGACCTGCGACCTTGGTGCAGTACAGAGTGATAGCCGACCAGTTTGTTCAAGGAGATGTGTGCGTGTGGGGGGGGGGGGGAGTAGGCTGAGGATTCTCCTGTCATACTATGCTTCAATATTATGCCTTTTTATACATGGACAATTTCTGTGTGCATCCATTCCTGTCTCCGGACTTGCCTTGCAGATATTGACGAGTGTACCGAGGATGCGTTCATAACGTGTCACACATGTGTCAACACACGGGGTAGCTACATGTGCAGCTGCAACAACTACTACAGCCTGATCAGAGGACGCTGCTTCCGTAAGCCCTAATATTTGTTATGTGTGGCCTAGATAGTGCAGAATGCCCCATGATCTTTTACACATGCTGCAAATAGCTGTTTTGTGTTTTGGGCCAGGAAATCATCTACTGTAAAACCGGCAAGTTTACCGACAAAAAAGTTTAACGTTTTTGTAATTTTGGCATGATAACGTGCAGAAAGTTTAACGATGCTTGTACAACAGAAAGAGCATGCATCGATGTATGCGCATCTTTACACAGACATCTCAAACCGGGTTCAGGATAACGTTTCTTCAAATAACGAAAAAAATTGGTCGTTAAAACGTTAGACTTTGTGACTCGTTAGACTTTCCGGTTTTACAGTATAGTTTTATCCTGGCTAGAATGATTTCCTTCTGATCATGGACATTGAGGCAAGGGAATTTATTTATTTATTTCACCTTCCCGTGGCCAGAGAATATAGGCTAATATGGAGGGGGGGGGGGGCGGTAGCCAGCCATGGCAGTAAACAAAAACAAAGCAAAAGAAAAAAATAACAATAATAATAATAAATAAAAAGGAGATATTCTGCTACTCAGGTTGATTGCCTGAACGCAATTATTAGGAAGCGCTTTGTTTGCCGTAGTATTGCACATAACCTTACATTCCTCACACAATGTTTAGAGTATGGTGTTTGCCCTCAGTCTATACAAAACCGCGTTCACAAGGCAAAAGCTTATCATTCACTCAAGCTGGAACGGGTTTTTATCAAAGACGATATTAGCCGTAGTAAGGACACTCTTAGCAAAGTCAAATCCCAGTTCAGACATCTATACGCTCTGGCTCGTTCCTTTCTCTCGCCGTTGGACTTCTTGCGTTTCTCGAACCTTCTGTCTCAGAACGACGCTAACCAACAAGTTCGCCTGATTACAAAATATCGTAAGAATTTGAACTGGCTTCGTAAGAAACGGTTCGGCTCCTTCACCATTGACCATAGCACCATCATCAACATCGCCAATGTAGAACTTAGCAACATAGAGAAAGATCTCTTGTGTAGGGGCATTGATTACGGAGTTCCTCCTACTTCGCTGAAACCTGAAGTGACTTTAATGGAATTTGAACTACTTTACAATAAATTATCTGAATTCAGACCTTGTTCGGATACTCAGAAGTCACTTTGTGCTGCCAAGCTGAGATCGATAGCTGAAGAGCATGCCACACAACAACCAGACCGTAAATCTTTCTCTTTGTCTCGAGAGCACTTGAAAGCCCTCCGAGATCTCAGAGCACGGAAAGACATTATTATCACGAGACCGGACAAAGGTAGAGCCACTGTTATAATCACTAAAGAACAATACCACACGAAGATGGCTACTATCCTTGATGATCGGTCGAAGTTTGTTAAGTTAGGCCCTGTACAGATACACGACCGTACAATTGCTATAGAATCTGATATCATCAAGTACTTGCGGAAGCTGCGGAATGCAGAGGAAATATCTAAATATGAGTACTTACGAATTAAACCGATTGGTTCAACACGGCCCAGACTTTATGGATTGCCGAAAATCCATAAGAAGGATTGTCCCCTTCGCCCAATACTTTCAATGTGTGGTTCACCTCAATATACAGTTTCGAAATGGTTGTGCGATATGATTACACCAGTGGCTAAGTACTATTGCAAACACAATGTAAAAGACACTTTCCAATTCATCGATATCCTGCGTGAGCAGCCAGTACCGTCTTCTTCCCACATGTGCTCCTTCGACGTTGTAAGCTTGTTCACCAATGTGCCCGTGATGGAGACAATTGACATTTGCGCTAATGCTCTGTACCACGATAAAGAGTACAGTAAACAGTTCGATTCTCCCTGGATGTCCGAAACTGCGTTCCGCAGACTAATGCAGATGATGACAACTGATGTTGAATTTTCTTTTGATGACACCATGTACCGCCAAATTGACGGGGTGGCCATGGGTTCACCATTAGGTCCAGTTCTGGCCAATGTGTTTGTCGGGTTTTATGAATCGAAGATTCCAAGTGCGATGTGGCCAAGCTTATATGTTAGATTCGTAGATGATTCGTTCACGCATTTCCGTAATCTGGAACAATCGAATGAGTTTCTTGGTATGCTCAACAACCTACATCCCGCTCTGGAATTTACATGTGAACATGAGCAGTCAAACCGTTTGTCTTTTCTCGATGTGTTAGTCGAGAAAACGGAGATGGCTGTTTCAACTTCAGTATATCGAAAACCAACGTTCACCGGGCAATACATTGTCTACGACTCCTATTGCTCGACTTTATACAAAACTAATCTCGTACGAAATTTGATCATGCGCGCTAGGCGGATTTGCTCGCCTGATAAGCTTCAGCAAGAGCTTTGTTTCCTGAAGAAGGTATTCGTTCGGAATGGATATCCTGTTCAGCTCCTCAGTAAGCTGTTTAGTGAACCTGATATTCAGGTTGCCGAGCCTGAGTTTGGACCTGACCCATGTCGTGTATTTTTACGACTTCCATGGAAAGGTCAAATTTCGCTGGATGTGGCCCGCGCCGTGAGGACTGTGGTCAGACAAACCTATTTTGCCACAGCATTGACAACTGTCTTCACTACGGCCCGTGCGTTCACGGTGAAGAAGGATGTTCTTCCTACCCAACTAATTAGCCATGTAATCTATCATTTTGAATGTCGGCATTGTGATAGCCGATATGTAGGAAGAACCCTTCAGCACCTGAACGCACGCGTCAAACAACATGTACCATTGTACCTTTTGTCAGATGCAGCCAAAGCCCAGCGACCTGGGCGAGGCCGTCCCCGCAAACAGGTGCCAGTTGCACAACAGAACCACACTATTACAGCAGCGGGTGAACCCACTGCAAGTGCACAGTTACGTGAGACTGTAGGAAATGGACAAGCACAGGTACGGAGACCAGTAACAAGGAGCATGACTCGTACGCTGGTAATGGCATCTACAACCGGACATGGACTGGCAGTGAGCAGTAGCGTGGGATTGTCGTCGGGTGCAGAGGACGGGATGGAAGTGGAAGAGGACGAAGAAGGTGTGAGCAGTGATGAAGAGAGTGAGTTGGACAACCAAGATGAAGATGACCGGACTGAAGGTGAGAGCACAACGAAAGGGTCAGCAATTAAAAAACACCTCTTGTCTAGTAGCCAATGCCGCTCAGTGTATGACGATTCATGCTTCACTGTTTTGTGCCGTGCTCGTAGGTTTCGTGAACTTAAGGTATTAGAAGCTGTTTTCATCCGTAAACACAATCCTAATCTATGCATTCAGAAAGAAAATGTCACAAAATTGAGACTCTTCACCTAGCATTCACACACATATTCATTCGCATACACCTACACCTCATACTTCCTCACTCTATCACAGTCACCTGCTTCCACGCCTTCATTTCACTCACCTTTTGTAGTAGCTCACACCGTCTGAACACTCTCACATCTTTTCTTCTAATTTCTTTCGTATTCTCTCCCACTTTAGTTTTTTTTTTCTTCACACCTCACCTTGTATACTCCCCACTATCCTATAACCTATAAGTAGTTTGTTTTCCGTATAGCCTCTATTGTGAGACGATTTTTCCCTGATGATAGTCTCAAGAAAATCGATTAGGAACAACCATTTTAGATACATGTATTCTCATTCATCATTTTGTAATGTCCGCTTCACTTATACTATTAATCGCATTAATAAAATAATAATAAATGCTCACTTGCATACTTGTGCTGGGTGCTAACACGGGGAAAGCAACTGCATTACTGGAACAGTTTTGATCAATGTCTGCTGAGTGATTGGCTGTTTGGTATGCCGTTTGCTATCACTCCTTTTTCAGGCAGCTGTGCTCGACCTGAGCATCACGTGAGTAGTGAGTTCACACCTGCGAATGGGCCGTTTCTCGTCAACATAGAGCTAACGTTCCAGTGCCATGACGGCTACCGGCTGGAAGGAGAGAAGGTGCTGCAATGTCTGGACAAGACGAACACCACAGGCTGGTCATCAGCATCTCCAAAATGTAAGTCATGAAACAAATGAATTGGTATGCGTTGACAATGCGACCTCGAGTAGAGCTGGAGAGGTGAAGAGGAAGCCATCAAATCTGCCGTGGTTGGCTTACATCCACTCTCTCCAAATTGGTCGGTGTTCCCATTAGCAATGTGCCTTGAAATGTTGAAATAATTATATACCTCCTCCGCGTCATTGAAATGGTCGTTTCGCACATCGCAATGTTTGTGACTTGCTAGTCTTAGTCGGACTGCCCTAATCGTCGTTTTCTGTGTTCCAACATTGGTACGACTCTCCCTACGCAAAGTCTACTTGTTACGCAGGCAGTGGTGGTCTCGGGGTTCTCTTCCGCACCAAACAAATACATCGCGCTTTGCACTACTTTGCACCAGAGCGTGTATCTTTCTTCTGGAGTTCGTGCCGGCCCACATCGTTCACGTGGGCATTTGGCAAGACTGTAAGCCCCGGTGTAAGAATCCTGGTACTCTCCTGAATTCAAAATGTTGAAGTTGACGATGGCAAGAACAAAGTGTTCTCAAATTTCTAAAACCGCCATGTGTGGCGCATGTTGCTGTGGAGGCAGCAGATCTGAAGACACCAACAAAATCAGCGAAGCGATTGTCAAGGAAAGAAGGTGCGGAACTCCTTACCCCCATTATGATGGAAGGTTGTTACGATGTACTTCAAACATGCTAGTTTCCAATCATCGCCTGCCACCTGGAGGCATGGATTGCTTGAAAACGAAGTTTCATGACCTGAATTTGAACACGCGTCTTGTTCAGCGTCGTGTTGAGTGTTGAAGAGTCTGCCTAAATATCTGATGAAGATGTCGACCTCAGCCACACGTGCAGCGAAGCGGTAGGCCACAAACTCAAGTATAGACCCTCGACAATGCTCTGCCTCAAGTTCTAGCTGATTTCTTTGCTTCGAGTGGACAAAATATATTTGAAAAAATCGCCCTTGGAAGCAACAATTGTAGTGACACGGAGGAAGTAAATATAAATCCGAGATCTCCCTAAATGATACATAACCTGAACTTGGCTGTGTAGTGTGTGCACGGTCAACCTTGAGAATAATGGCAGTAGACTGCGCATGAGAAAAAAGTATCGTTATTCATGAGTTGTCCTTATTTGTGAGGTAGAAAGCATGCAGGAAATTGACACTTTAATAGGTCTGAAGATTGCGTCGTTAATAATTATTGTTAATAATTATTGTTAGGCAGGCATAGTGGGATGGTCTAAGACCATGATTGAGAAACTGAGTGTACCAGGTTCAAGTCCTGCCTGGAAGCGGAAGGATTTTTTCCAGCCGTGCTGCGACCCACAGTTAATTGGGAACTCGCGGCCTGGCACGAGGTGAACATGGATGCAGTGAATGGGATTTTCGGTCTTTGACCACTTGCTGGTGAGCTGATCTACTCACCTCCCACCGCTTTAGGAGCTGCATCTGCGCCTTGATCCTTGAAGGGTGGTGGCGTTCCTACGGATGCGGAAAACTCGGTTTCCAGCCGAGTCTCGCGCGAACCGTGAAATTTTAAATTAATTATTGTTAATAATTGTTGCGAGTTGTCGGTATGCCCGAGGTGGTCGTTGATCAAGATGTTGACTGTATATGTGTGTGGGGAGGAATGGAAGCTTGAACATTGATTGGTGCTGGCAAGACGTATCCCAATGATTTCAGCAAGCTGTGTGTCATACATGTCTTGCATGTATTATGTTTCCCAGGTATGAGAATAATAGCCTGGCGCAAGGTGGGAGGACACACTGCAATGAACAGCATTGCCGACTACTGAATAAGACACCAATTGCTATTATAGCTCCTTGATCTACACTGCCCTGACGGTTCAAATTGTCGCACAGACCAATATCCTAGAAACCCCAAGGTTTTAGGTTTTGCCCTTGCCCCTCATGCAGTTTTTTTTAATTTTTTTTACAAAGACCACTTAAATGCCAAACATGAGATGCAGCTGGGGAAGCACGTTAACCTGAATCGTGGCAGTGGTGGTGAGGTTTAGGGAGCTCCGCCGACCTAGGGTCTCGACTTCATAGCCACCTAGACGCAGTTGCTCAGACCAAAGCCCTACCAAACAACTACTGCCGCGGCTTTCCTGGCATTGGTTCTTCTGCCTTGTGACAAGCTGTGTAATTCAACCAAGCTAAAATGGTGTTACTTCGAAGTACTTGTATACCGTAAAATGGTACTTGAAGATTTTTGGGTCAGTGTCTTTGCAAACTGTCACTGTCCTCTCGGAAGGCAGGATATTTCTCTGGTGCTAGTGTTTGTGTTCTAGTGTTTGTGTGTATGCAGATGAGTGTATTTGCGAATCTCTTTGTGTTTGTGTTTGTCTTTGTGTGCGTGTGTGTGTGTGTGTGTGTGTGTGTGTGTTAGTGTGTGTGTGTGTGTGTGTGTGTGTGTGTGTGTGTGTGTGTGTGTGTGTGTCCCATATGGTGCAGTGGTATGTGCAGCGATTTCCAATCGATAGATTGCGGGTTCGATTCCCGACGATTATGGTCACACACGTCTTTCTTCTCTTTCTCAGACTCTTCCTGACTTTTCTTTCATTCTCCTGGGTGGTTACCAACAGCCAGTGCATGCCGGAGTATGTGGTGTGATGTGTGTGCGGGAAAAAAAAAAAAAAAAATGAAAAAAATGAAAAAGACCAAAAAAGGGATTCACTGGCCAGAAAATGTCACTCCAAATAGCTGTATGGTGTAGACCAGGCTGAGTAGTGACGGTCAATTCTTCAGCCTTGCAAGCTGTTGAATGGTGTAATCCCAGCACAAGTTGCTATGGCTTCTGCCGTAGCATTGCTATCATCGCCTCCGGCGATGGGCGTCAAAGGTCAAAGGTGTGTGTGTGTGTGTGTGTGTTTATGTGGACTTGCATACGTGCATGCATGTGTGGATGTGGTGGTGTGTATGTGTATTCTCAATAACGTATCCTGCATTGCATTCTACAGGCATAAAAATCGAAGAAGTGTCCACCGGTGGACTATCCTCCACGCAGATTGCCATTATTGCTATCTGCTCGCTGGCAGGTGTTGCTCTCATCACCACAGTGACGATCATTGCCGTTATCTCACACAGACGCAGCATGTACAAGACGATGGCGAAGCAACGGTCGCGCACCTCCATGCAGAGCCAGTCGACGCGAATGGTCCGCTCCGTTTCATCAACATCCACATCCCCGGAAGCCTCTCTGCTGCCAGGATCAGGCGATCCCCTTGACAATCGTCGGCGCACGAAGCGCAACAGTCGTGTTGAGCGGCGCAGTCGCAAGTATAGTTCTGACAGCCTGGCGCGGGCTCAAGAAAACGATTTTCACATCACGCCCGCGAGCGGAGATATCTCCTTCCAGCAGGGTATCACCGAGGTGGCCGAGGAAGGGTTCGACGGAGGGGACGACATGGAACTGGAGCTGCTGAGAGCAGCGGTGCAACGGGACGGCTCTAGGAACGCAAAGATCAGCACAACGTCCCAAGACTCGGATCTGCTCGGCCCGGGCACTGCACCATCGTCCGATTATGCTGCAATCGGCCCTAGGGGAGTAGTGTAACCGGTCTTAGCTGAAATCCCTACCAAACGTAAAGTCATTACATGGATGGAGATTATCCATTGCATAGTACACTGCAATACTAGAGCACAGTTATCAACTATAATGTACAGCAAGTAAATTCAGCTTTGGCGTTTCTTGTACAGTCAGACCTCGCATAACCGCACACATCCATTTTCCACAAAAAAATATCCAGGTAGGCGAGGGAACCGGATAATCGAACACACATGCTGCCATATGCTGTAAATCGGTAACCAACGACTTTCTTCCGGGTGGCGAGGGATCCGGATAAGAGAGGAGCGGATAAGCGAGGCCTGACTGTATCAGGTTTATGTATTACCCATGAACATACAATGTACATGTACTTTTACTCGCAGCTCTTTATGTACAGATCACCTTGACAACCTCTCAACTACGACCCATGTGTACATATTTTTCAGCAATCGCTCAGGTAACCTACATTTTTGTACATTGCACATTGTAGATGGTGAACAATTTCCATGACCATCACCATTGTTTCTATGGTTACCAATGGCCTGTATACATGTGATCGATTATCAGTCTATCACCATTGTTTCCATAGTGACCAATGCCCTGCACATGGTCGTCACCTGCACACAGTCATGTGCTTGCATTTTCTTATACCACGCATGTTCTTCAGCTCATTTCAGTACGCCTTACTGGTTTGTTGCTGTGACGTTGAACGTGAAGACAGGCCTGCATCCGGATTCTCTGATCGTTCAGCAGATGTTGCGGATGAACTTCTGATAAATATTGAATCCTGTCAGGACACGCTCTGATATAAGAAGAATGAACGAAAGGTACTTGTAAAAATTGGAAGAGGAAAAGAGATACAATGTCATGTACTTGGGGAGACATTAACCCTGATACTGTAAATAATATATTATATATATATATATATATATAATATTTGAAACTCGGATGTTGAGCCATAAATAAATGTGGAAGAGAAAAAGACATATGGATACGAGTTAAGAGTAACTCTCCATCACTGTAACATGATACTATATACAGTCAGAAAGTGCAATAACTAGGCACAAAACTGACAGAGTACTGAAACATTCGACGTCCTGACACCTAGCTTCAACACATCTCCGTAGCGCTAACCGACAGCCTTCCAACTTGGAAGGTTCAAGGTTATGGAAAAGACCAAAGAGGGGAAGGCAAGCGCAACGAAAACGAGCAAAAGCTACAGTCCCAACGGAACAAAGAATGTCGATTGTTACTGGACGATGACGAGACCAGTACGATATTTGACAAAGCGGTCTAACTACAATTCGAAGCAGCAAAGCAGCACACCACCCAACTTGGGTGGGTCATAAATATCAAAGATAAGTAAAGAAAGGGAAGCTTTGCGAAAACGAATTGTACAAGCCGAAAGCCAAACTCCTACAGTACTCCTCATGCATGACATTGACGTCGAATGTTTCAGTACTCTGTCAGTTTTGTGCCTAGTTATTGCACTTTCTGACTGTATATAGTATCATGTTACAGTGATGGAGAGTTACTCTTAACTCGTATCCATATGTCTTTTTCTCTTCCACATATATAATATTGTACAAAATTTCGGCGCTGCAAAATTTCGGCACTTCATGATTTTTGACATTTCGGCGGCGATTTATTTTCGGCGTGGGGTAGAGGGGGGCATGGTATAGTGCGACAGATGCTGTGAAAAATTTCATCGGCGTTTTAATTTAGGCGTTTTGGGTCGGTGCCGAATATAGCCGAAATTAAATAGCTGCAGAAAATTTGTATATTTACAGTAGAGCTCTAGCAATGACATCGAATGTTACACTGTAGCGAGGATGCGTGGCGCCTCGATATACACAACATCAAAGTCACTGTCGATCCCCGGACTCTGGAATGGTCCGGAACTACCCCGGACAATTAGGACGGAATCATGAACTGGGCTAAAAGCGGGGTCAGTCCGACGCTTCCCCATGACGATGGAATAGCGCTGAGAGAGCTTTGTGGATTGCCTTCCTCCGATCATTTTTAAGGTAGCTTTCCTTGCCAAGGTACCGGCAGAGGACATGGCAATGGGCGTGAAGGAGGCTCGCTCGACCAGGGAGTCCTACACATACTATGACTACTAGTATGGTATGTGTAACTGTAGGGCTCCCTGCGCTCGACCTCCCTGATTCTTGCTCCACATGCCGACCGCTTTAAAATTCTGTGATTCATGCCACCGGAATACCTCGGCCAGCTGTCGGGGACGGGGCACGACTGTAGTGTTATGTGCGCTGGTATTGAACACCCTACATCCACAAGGGCATCAGTCTGTACCGACCAGAGAACCCTGGGGCCTGGTGCCTTGATGTCCGGTTTGGTGTCATGCGCCGTTCGCAGCGCAGTGCCGTAGTCGCAAGTCGTTACCGCTCGTATGGGTTTTAGTGGCGGCTCAAGGTGAAAGTCCTCTGAGCCCCAAAACGCGGCGAGGACTCGGAGAAGACGACCAATATAGTCACGCACTAGGGTATCACGCACATGATCGTGTGGGTGAATCGGTAATCCATCTGTAGGTCTCAATCCATTGCATTATAGATTGTGACAGGAGTGAGCGGAGACGTTTTGGTGCTTCTTGCAGTTTCATCCAAACACCGGTAACTAGAAGAAGACGGGTCATTCCAGGACTAACTCCAAATCCGAACCGGGGTAACCCTCAGCTTGGTTATAGTCGCACCATATATGTACCGGTACTCAGTGATCAACAGGTACGAGTACAAACAATGATGCTATCAAGCTCACAAGGAGAAACTAACGCAATATATACGGACTGTGGTCTCCCTCACTAAATGCTCACACCACCTGCCCCAATCCTCGCCGATCGCCCAACTCTCAAGAAATTGCCAACATTCAAGACCAAGGCCTACCATCACCTCCGCCAGACCAATTGGCTATGGGCCACTGACGTCCACCAGCACTGAGAATAACCGGTTGTCTCTATTATTATCATGCTCTGTTTCTCTCTCTCTCTCACACACTCTTCCTCTCCTGGAAAGCTCCTCGTGCTCATTCTCCCTTTCTCTGTCCATTTCCAGTTCCTGATGCGTAGACCAACTGATGAACCCGAGACCACTAGGTCGGGGGAGGTTGACCTACCTCATCGGCACGCATGCCAGGCTCCTCTGTGTTGTCAATGTTCGCTTGTCCAATTTTGTCTACCTCCCCTTCGTTTTATGTTGCTGGCCAGTGCTTTGCAGTAAACGAACAGTCAGGCGTCAACCTCGTACGTTCAGCATACGAAGAATAGAGAGGTTAAGTTACACGTTTTTTGCCCTTTTTCAAAACGCGGTGCAAATCTCACGTTACGTGTAATTTTTAGAGGTTAAGTTACACGTGCGACGTGACGTGAAATTTTGCCTGGCAGGATTCGGGTTTAGTTCGCACAAATATCAAATCTTCCAACAAACTTGATAAATCTCGATAAAATTCCGGAAACTCACACAAATTCGGTCGGGATAACCAAGCGAAACTTCCAAAACTCACGTCATGAACTTACGTGCGGGACAGTCAACTCACGTAAAACACGTCAAATTTTACGTGAGTTTTTTCCCATTTTGACGTAAAAGTTCACGGACGTCAGACTTTTACGTGAAACTTAACCTCTCTAATGTCATCTACATGTATTGGCGCCAACACTACCAGTGGACTGCAAATCACTCTCACCTTATCAGTGCGAAAAGGGCGCCGGCGAGTGATGTGGGTAATAATGCAAGTGAGAGAGAGAAATGTCACCCCAGCCTGGCTGATGGCCACAATGGAGTTGCTGCTGCCGCCGTCAGCTATCTTTTATCCCCTGTTTTCACACCCGACAATCCCGTGCTACGTACCATGAACATGACTTTGTACATGAGCCAGTTAGAGAGCATGGCCACAAAGAAAATAATTGTGTACACAACTAATAGTTACTGGTCTTCTCCTCTTGTGGCGGAATGGGTCCAGAGGCAAGCGTCGTCGTCAAGCGGATTGCTGATGCTCTTGCTTCCAAGCGAAAAGAGAGCTACAGCGATGTCGTTTGTTGCCACTTGGATGCGTTGCTGCTTGGCGTTCTCTCTTGCTAGGTCTGCCATCCGGTTTGTCTGAGGATCACACTCCGTTCGCCGTCATCACATCGACCTCGCGCCTGTCGACCTCGTCCAGGCTGAGACTCGTCTGGCTCGGCATTAGACTGTCACTTTACTCTTTACTTGTAGCTCCCTCGATATTATTAGACTGTGTTCGCGGCTATTTTAGCTCCCTCGGTATTAGACTGCGTTCACAGCCATTATAATTTTTTGTTATTTATTTTTACCTCATTTTCTTCCTGTTGAGGCTGCGCATGTGTTTATTTTGCCCACGTACAAGAGGCTTGGGTATTAATTATAATACCGCCTTACCGTTGCAGTCCTACTAGTACTAGTAGATCTACTGTCCGACGCTGAAGAACGGACCGCCGAAAAACGGTCAGGCTAGAATTTAACAATAACTCTATTTAAAAACTCTGCATAAATGTACATGTAAAACTGTGCCATGGAATAAGAAGGAAGCTGCTGTGTTCGCTAAACTTTGAATAAGAATGGGCTAGGCTAGAATCCTGCCCCCCCCCCCCCCCTCCCCCAGTTCTTCGACAGTATGTTTACTGATAGTTACTTGAATCTTGAACACCTATCCACAATCATGGTGATAGTTAGGTCTCGACCAAATATGCTTAAAAAAGAGCATAATATTATGCTCGTCGCATATCAGGGAAAACGTCCATAATATGCCAAAGGCTTAGCAACTTAAGATATTATTATTATTATACGCATTCCCGCGTTGAAGTGTAGCAGCAGTATGCTGCGTCCACAGCTTCGCTTATGCAGAATGGCTTGGGTGAGAGAAGAGGGGAGAGAAAGCAACAAGGCAACCAACATCTATGAAATTGGTCACAATAACATGAAGAGAACCAACCTACATATGCATGATTGCACAAGAATGGAGACGACAAAATATAATGGCTATAATCATTGTGCCACAAAACCGGTACACAGGAGATCTGTCGACAATGTAACGAAACATAAAACTCAGTTACTCAATACAGGTTCCACTAAATAATTACAAGAGAACAACGCTACACTTCTCTCTACACTCTCTACACTTAAGATATGCAAAAAGATAAGCCAAAATATGCTCGACACAAGCAGAAAGTTTACTGTTTAGATCATTTCAGTAAAATTACAACCTTGGAATATTCATTGGCTTCACGGCTATCATGCTTATGGTGCAAATTAACAACACATGCGGAATAGTATGCCTGGGGTCACAGTGGGGTGTGTCCCAAGGAACCGTAGCGATAGTGTTCATCCATGGGGAAATGTAGCAAACGCCTCAATAATCCCAAATTCATCCATAAAAGGCATTTCTGAACGCATTTTGTCCATAATTTGAATGTTTTGTCCTCATTTTCTTCAGAATATTTGAATTATATGCTGCCTTCATTCCAATATTCCCTTTGTCGCTCAATATGCCATAATATGAACTGTCTCACAAAATATGCGGAAATATGCGCAAGCATATTTGATCGAGGCCTAGTGATAGTGGCAGCAGAAGCGGGAATGTCTCTTCAAAAAATCGAAGATACGATCCGACCAGGCCTCGGACGACGGCACAACTGCCTCCATTCGCCACGATTCTGCGC